TTGGTTTGCCTCTGAATGTGTCCAGTGCTGAGGGTAAGGGAAGGAGGTTCTGTGTCTTTCATGACTCACTCCTGGTGGTGAGTGAGCTGTGAAAATAGATCTCTGAAACTTGACTGTTGAGAATGAAATGTTTTGCTGAATCTGTAGTTTTTCTAGGAATTAACCTCTTAAAACAGGAAAAAATGTTTAAATCCTTCGCGAATGTTTTCAGTGAAACAGAAGAGAGCTGACAGGGCAGTGAACCTAAGCTTGCAGCCAGAAAGCTCTGCAGTGCTTTCCTGTCTTGCTGCATAGCTACTTTTTCCTCAGTGTGATCTATGTAAATAGATAAGTGGAAAGGTGATCTTTTAAAGAATAAGTAATACTGAGATTTGCAGTGACTAATTGACTTGCATTTTCAGTTGAGATGATGTTCTCACCAATCAGTGGAGTGAGCTACACTTGCTTCAAACTTTAAGTCTAAAAAGCCTTCTCTGCACCTTTGTTTAAGTTTACTTTGTCTCTTTGATCTCATGTTAACATACTTTAATGACAGGTAATGATTGATAATGGTGTATTGTAAAGTTCAGGTAATAAATAGTGCTTTACTCATAATAATGCTGAATAATGTACTTTTTATGACCTACTTTGACGGAAAATTTCCTTGTCAACTCTGCCTAATTGTCTAAACAAAACCACCCATTACTTAAAAAATGCATGTCCAACCTAGACACATTAATTAGGGTCATGACTGAGCTGCACAAAGGAATATAGTAACACTTCAGTTATCTTTAAGTATGATCTTTGGACAGCAGTCCTAATGTTAAACTGAAGTTTAATGGGAAGCTCTTGTTTACACTATGCTTTTGTAGCTCACAGACATATGTTGGAATCTATCCACAGCGGCTGTGTGATGGGAAAAGCAGCATCTCCCTGCAGGTCTTTAAAGGTCATAAACAATATTAGTTTGAACATCAAAAATCCCCAAATCAAGTTAGCCTGGAGGAAAAGGTTTCTGGGGTTTTTATCCAGCCAAAAACCCAAGTTAGGAAATATTGCATTCCATTGAGTTGAGAGTTAGAGGGGCTTAGTTTTTAGCTGTTGACACGTTGGCATACTGTACATCAAAGCCCTTGGTGAGGGCTAGCACTCTCATGGTGTTTAATCTGCTTTGAAGCCTCAGGTTTTTACTGATAATGTAGTAAGGCTTTAGGAAATACCTTTACAGACTTTAGAAGGAAAATCAGGTTCAGAACCATTTCAGAAGGGAAATGTTCAAAAAACGGTTTTAGTTTGCTACTACGCAATTTTCAGTATGTTTTAAAATAGGAGATTCTCAACAATTATTGTTTTTTTGTTGTTGTTATAGAGCATTAGAGGGGAAAAAAAGATCCAGAATCAGTTGCCATCTAACTTGGGTGCCTAGAACACTTAAGTTCAAGGAAACTTCTGTGAGATGGATTAAAGACTTTGGTCCTACTTTACCATAATCCTTCCTTTTCATTTCATGACTAATCTACACAACTGACTTCTGTGAACATGTACTTCCCTTATTACTTTGGCAGTACACACTGAAATTTTCTCACTGTATAGAATAGTAACCTTTTTTGATTCCTATACCAATAAAAGGAATAAATGTTTTTGGTATTTCAAGATGCATTAAACTTGTGATGAAGTCCACAGGTGGCTGAGGCGTAACAGGCTGCATGGAGCTGACCGCTTCTGCATGCGTGTCTTGAAGTTAATGGAGAATTTTTTTAGAAAAAAGCTTTACTTTATGTACTTTGATTATGTTCCATTTTATTGTATCTAAAAGTTTAATTTATCATTAACAAATATGTATTCTTGCCCAAATGATCCCCTTGTAAGCAAAGCCATTGCTTGCCTGATGGAGAATGCAGGATTGCTTCTGCTCCCTGTGATGTTCCTGAGGACTTGGCTGCAAAGCCAGGGAATTCATCATCATTACCAGCTGTGTTCACAGGTGACATCTCTAGGTTAACAGAGCCCACTGATCAAAATAAATAGGACCTGATCTACTATCAGGCTAGTGTGGAAGAGGTTTCTTCCTTCCTCTAACACAGTAAAGAGTTCAGGTTGGCTTTTCTCCCCATAACCTCTAGATTCATGCTTGGCCTCGGTGATGGGCTGTAGATTATTCTCAGTGCTCCCATGTCAACAGTGATGCCCTTGGCCTTACCCAGGGAAATAATGCTAGCTAAAAGCYAGCGTTGTTGGTACTGCTCCTTGCAGTGAACTGGACGCTGTAGGTAAAACTGGAGGGAGTGCTTGGTCAGGGTTGTGTTGCTGTTGGATTTTCCTCATAGGAACTGTTGAGCTGTTTCCCTCATCCAATAGAGGATACAACCTTTCTGGAATAGTGGATGTGTCAAGGGAATATTATATATATACATATGGTGGAAGGATAGCATGAATGTAGAGAACTTCATGTTAATTATCAGTTGGATGATAGAGGTTTTATACTTGTTTCCTTATTATAAAAAAGGGGGAATATCTTATTAAATACAGGGAAGGACATTCCTATTGTAAGTAAGAATCTGTGTCCAGTGGCTATGGCAATGAATTGGAAAGGGCCAATAGCCTGATATTGAATGAAAGGAAATTCAGGAGCAAATATGTGTGTGTGATAAGGCTACTGTTCTTGCACAAAAAAAGTACCCAATTTCTTTTCCTATGTCATATTCCCTATTGATTTGGGTAAACTAAGTGTTGCATTTCTTTCTCTTCAAAGAAGAGTGTTTAATTTTATATATTGTTGCTACAGTCTCAAAGGAAAAGGAAATATTAATAAATGAACCACTAAAAATGCTATTTAAAAGGAAGTAGAAAGTAACTCAAGACAAGATCTCTTCAAGTTTGTTCTGAATCTATTTATCTCAAGGATTTAAGTAAATGTACTGAGAAAAATGTATTAATATACCCTATCCTGAAGTTTATCATGGGTTTCTTGTATCTGATAGTTTAAAAGAACTTAATCTGTATTTCTAGCCCTTTAAAAGTAATAATGGCAATACTATGATTTAGTTTCAACCACTTCAGGCTATATTTTATTTTTAATATAAAAATAAAAAGTCTAAATGTAATTCACAATGAAGTATGCATTTAACAATCATAACATGGTATGTGCAATCAAAATCAGAATGAGCAATAAAAATATAATTGTGTGAAAATGAGCTTTCAGGAGGAGACTGTGCTGTAAGACCAAGCAATTCTGTAGTGAAAGATTTTCTTATGCTAACCTCGCGTCCTTTTTAAGAGTGATGCACATTTTTAAGATGTCATACAAGTCGGCATGTGATGCTGCTGATTTAAGGGGCTTTGTATTCTCTGCCGTGGCCTCCGTGCAGCAGAGCATTGCTTGGGCCTCGGAAGCAAACCAGCTTCAGGGGATGACCGAGTAGATCAGCATGCTTGGCATAAAATGTAAAAGCGCCTCCAGAAAAGTAGCTGTCTGTCCCTTTCCTATCTCTGTTTTTGTTTGATATTAGAAGTATATTAGATGCTGTGCCAAAAGGGACTTGTCCTTTTATCTAGTCAGAAGAATGCTTTTTGTTTGCATTTTGGAAGTGCTTAGCTGCCCAAGCGTGCTTTGTGTGAGCTGCTTGAAATGTGTCGCTGCGTCACGTGAGCGCTGCTCTCGGGCGCGTGTTGGACTTTCTCCAGCAAATATGGATTATGTTAAAGTAGGTTCTGAATTGACGAGGATATGTTAATAACTCCCAGATGGGCATCTTTGTGCAGGGAAATACAAGTAGTGTATGGCAGGAGCTAGTGTTTGGCAGGTCCATCATTCCGTCATTAAAGGCCACATTATTACTTACAACTCCACTTGCATGACAATTGCTTGCATAAACTCAGTCTCCCAATAACAAACACACACAATTTGCTTTTAGATGTATTTTATTCGTGCAAGGGTTTTTTATACTGGCCAGTATTTCTTCTAGTTTATAGGATTTTTAAGTTAAGAAAGCAGTATGAAATAAACACTTTGCTGCTGCAAATGCTGGATTAAGACTGGTTTTCAGATGTGTGGTTGAAACACAGGAGCAGAAAACTTGTGTCTTCATATTTTTGCAGCCTGTATTACTTGGTGCTTAATGCCAACTCCAGATTTCTATCTGGCAGAGTAGTTTATATTGTGTTCCTCTAAACTTCATGGATTACAAGTGACTGTGGTATTAAAATCAGCTGCTGTCTCAGGCTTTATAGTCTTCCTATGGTAGGTTAAAAGTAACACTGCTTTCCGTCAGGTTGTGGGATGGAAGAAGTTGCTCTGTCTAGATAACCAAATACACAGGTGGACATCTTGTGCCTTTACCTCTTGACTTTCATGCTTGCCTTCGTCTATTAGTCCATTTGAGGCCAAAGTCTGTGCAGGTTTATCCAGCAAACACTGGATGGAAAATGCTCCTGCTTTCTTTCTCCAGCCAACCCTTTGCCCAGTCCTTTCCCACCTAACTCATAACTTCCAACTGGATACAAAAGCGGTGCTTGCTTGGGGTAGGGAGTGGGAGGATGGTGAAACTGGTGTTAACTAAATGGTGTTAACTAGCACTTTTCCCTGCTAGCCAGGAGTGAAGCAAAGGCTTTGGATTTGGAGAATGGGAAAAATCAGATTCCCGCTTCTTGTTGGCTGCATCTTTTTCATTTACACACAAATAAAAATGTGAAATGTGTATCATAAAACAGTGCAACTGAATCAGCCAAGCTGAATTTACGCTTCGCAGTGTGTTCAGGGGAGAGCTGCTGGGCATGGGCAATGTTTTYGGGGGAAACCTAGAGCATCAAGGGTTTGAAAGGGACCCAAACAGCAGCGATCCTCATGCCGTGTATTTTCATACCTCTATAGGCTCTTTTCGCATGTTAGGGTATTATCACTCTCAAACTGGCACTTAATTTTCTTGGCTCTTAAAATGAGTGTTGTAAGAGTAGTTGAATGTAATATGCGGTATTTTAATATTGTGACTCTTAATGCTACATAAAACCTTTGTTTCCTACAGGTTTATTGAGCTGGTGTATTAGATTTCCTGCTGCATGAGCAAGAAGATTATGGTGGCTTACGTCTAAGTACACTTTGGGGAGGCATTTTGTATTTTCTCTATAAATAGTCTTTCTAAAACACAATTGTGAAACTATTAATGTTTATATCACATTATACATCTCTCTAAGTTTACTGTGCTGAGTATACAGGGTTGTAGCAGGAGGAAATCTTTTTGTCTAAGAAACATGTTCAGAATTGTCACCATTAAAAGGTTACTAAAAGGCAAGTTTGTTACATTTATCTTCTCATCTGTAGGATATTTTTGGCTTATTGCATTGAGTCATCCCAGTTTCCAACAGCAGTAAAACTACATCTTATGGAATTCAGCATTTCAACAGAACTGGTAAATACCAAGGTTTCATTAGGAGTGTGTGTATAACAGCTACTCCTTTTGTGCAGGGGAAGCATGGTATGAGTCAATAGCAATTATAAGCTCATCACAGATAAAATTTAGGCTTGGGATCGTAAGCAGGTACATAGCAAAATCGGTATTTGATATGAGTATGCATTTTGGCCTTAAATAGACATATTTATTATTATGGATCTTAGATGCTAAAAAGATCTTTTTTAATCAAACAGATGAAAAGTTTGTGGGAGGAGGGATCCAGGCACAGCTCATACATGGATTGTTACTGACATGTCTTCTGCTTTGAGAATAATTTCTTGATAAGAAAACGCCACAGGCTGAACGCTGCCGGGTCCCCTAGAGCCACATATTCACCCTTACATGAAGAGTGAGTTTTTTATTATCTTAAAAAGAAGGCGACACGAGCAGAGCAAGTGGCTAGTGCTGCGGCGAAAGATTCTCGCGTCCAGCCAGCAAGAGCTCGGTGCGCCGGAGCCCGCCCGGGGTTCAGATGCAGCACAGCTAATCTGCAATTTGCTCGGGGCATCGTTACCCTGCTCTGCCTCCGGGGCAGGATTTGGCCCTGGCCTCCTGCAGGTGCSTGCGTGGCCACAGAGGCGCATTAGGGACGTGCTCTTGCCCGGGCAAAGCTGGTGCCAGGCCCCTGGTGACACGGAGGAGGTATTAGGTCAGATGAGTTACATTAAGTGGCAAGTGATAAATTCAAGATGACAATCCCAAACAGCGGTGTTTCTTCTGGTAATTAATTCCAGTGGTGCCGGGGGCGATGCTTAGTTGCTACAACCAGTGTGGCCAGCRCGGAGCAGCTAATGAGAAAACATTACAGCAAGGATTAGGGGCTGGCGYGTTCTGGCGGGATGAGGTCGCTGTGATTAGAAAATATTAATGCAGATTTAATGTGATAAACTGAGCAGGAGAAAGAAACTTGATTTTGTTTATGAATGGATAAAATGTAAAATTTCTGTTGTGGTTTTTCCTCAAATGGCTTTTCTGTGTAGTCCGGGGGCACTGAGGGCCACTTCCATGTGGTCACATGTGAGCCGTGTCAAGGCTAGTGTTAGCTGCTGCAGCCAGGCACAAATTCTTTCTTCCCTTTCATTTATTTTAATTACTCTTGTCAGGTAACAGGGAACACTCAGAGGAAGGAGCTCTGTGACTGTTACCGATGAGCAGGCAGGAATAATAAGAAAATAGCTCTTCCACACTCTAGTGTTTGGCTATCTTCAGTTAGCAGCAATGATGTGAAGGCATTATAATGCCTAACAAAAGAAAAGCCCATCCTAAAACTGGTATTATCTCAAGTATGAGGAAAGTCCATGAGAAAGCAGATATTTATATAGTTCCAGTCCTGTTCTGTTGCTGCAGGGGAGTTGTGTAAGGATATTCCTGAACACAAAATCCATATGCAAGGTGTCTTTAAGACCTGTCTCTGCAAGTGCTGGTGTGATCTCCTTCACCTGCAGGATTTGTGTAATGAGCACAAAGTACACTGTGGTACTACCTTAAACTGCATAAACCTGTGGCTTATAACATGCTTACTCTACATTTTTACAAGTGGAATTGAAAAAATGTTGTTCTAATTATGAAGTGATACTGAACTGTTTCCATTAATTGCAAAGGTATAGATGAGATGGACTATACACTGCGGCATTTTTATTTTGGCTCTCTAAAGTCTAACAGTTGCTTTCAGGCTTTTGCTTTGTTTTTGGCATATCACCATATGTAGGTAAAAATCACTTTTCAGCCAGGAGCACTCTAAGTACTTCAGTAGAAATGCTTCTGTAGAGTACATAAAAATAGTCTTTAATCAGATGAGCGAAACCTCAGCTAGTCCCAAATGTCAGATAATATAATTGACAAGCTTGCAACCAAATCCCTGCATTATCTAGACTGTATTGAACTATTATGGATGTTCTTATAGTACATCTTATGTTACAGCACATGCCTTTATCTTGTAAAGYTCCTCATCTTTTAAAATGTTTCTTATTTTGGCAAGATAGTATGTTTTCTTCCTTATTTCACCAATCTAACTCTTACTTTTATAAAAGTCATCAGAATAGTTGTGGAAGAAACCACTGCCATACAGCATTCTTCCATTCAATTATCTTTATACCATAGTGAACTAATATAATAGAAAATATACGGTTCAGTACAAAACTTGTAGCTGATATTTGAGGACTCCGATTAGATAAGTAGGGAGAAAGTTATTTAATACATTGATTTTTTAGTAATYGGCTTTTCAAGGATACTATTTTTAATAGATGAGAGCATAATAAAAGGGTAATATGAAATAATCTGAGCTGTAATCTGATAAGTGACATTTGTTTTCCCATTACTAGAATCTTTTTGGGCAAGGTCCTCTTTCTTTTTGTATAAGATTGTCATGTTGCTCAGTTTTTACTYATTTTTTCCTGTAGCTATGAAATGAACAATTGTCTTCATCTTTAGGCAAAAAGCAATCATTGAACCTCTATTCCATGTAGCCCTAGGATTTTCATAAATTGAAAGATAACTCGGAAGTGGTAGTTAAACTCTTTTAAATTCAACAGTTCTGCCTAGTCCCCACTGCTGTGTACTTTGAATACTGAGCTTCCATCTAGCCAAAACACATAATAGCAAGTTCAATTTTAAGGGGGGATATTAAAATTTTGAGTTTTGAACTCATGGAATTCTAAGTGGGTTTTGGCATTTCTGGATTCTGATTAAGTAGCTTTTTTTGATGCCTCCTGCTGCAGGAGGAAGGATGCTGTGTGTAGTTCCCATTAACACTAGTGAGAGGGGAATGCSTACTGCTGTCCTGGTGAAAGCAGCTGTTGGGTGAGGAAGATCACTTTGTCTTTCACGTCCTTGGAGCCTGGTGATTAGCGGACTCTTAGCTGTGTTTTGCTGCTGCTAAAACTATAAACCCTTTTGGGAAGGGTAGGGAATGGCTCAACCAGTTTGAAAAGGTAAAGGGCAGGGCTCAGGTAGCTTTTAAATTTTTAACATGAGATATCCTCTATAAAGCTTAAATTTATGTGAGGAACTCAATGGACATTTTTAAATATTCTGACTAAAAGCTTTTTCAAAATGTCTTTATTWATACAGTAGTGGTCATATCAAATAACATCTCAGTGTAATTTTAAGTGTGAGCTACTAGGTGGGCATTAAATGTAATTGTTAATGCAGTAACACTTAGGTTATAGGGATATTACTATATTTGTGGGATATGACTGCACACTAAAGGATTGCCAAAGACTCTGGATTTTAACTTGACCAATTAAGCCACAATGTGACTTTCTGTTTAATCCTAACTACTGAATTGCACAGCACCAGAAATATTTTATTTCTCAAATTTAACTTTTTTTCCTTAAAATCTATAGGCTTCATTGTTTTATGGAGATTTTTGTAAATAGATTCTAGTTTGGATATCTAAGCCAAACCTTTATGTTTGGTGGTAGAAGAGAAGCTTTGGGCGGGGAAAAAATGTTGCTTTGTTCTATCTATAGCTTATACTAACTAGCACCTATATTTTCATGTTCTTCTGTGGCTGGTACCTGGAGCTATTTAGTGCAGCGAATGTACGGCCTGCTGAACACAAGCACCGAGAGATGACACGGGTTTGCTGCAGTGGGAAACGAGGGACTATATAATTGCATCCTTGTCTCCCGTTCTGCTCCCACGTGTAACTTAAATGTCACTCGAGGCTGCCGGCTCTCACTCTTGCCTCCCTCGCAAAGCCCTCTCGCCCTGCGCTCAGGCATCATGATAGCGGTGCCTTAGCCCAGAGCTCGCGGCGCCCTGGGGACTCGCGCTCCCACYGCCCGTCGTTGACCTGGCTACTGTTGTTTGTGGTACTTACGGGGAAACTTTTGCAATCAATACAACATCAGCTCCTGGGAATGGAAACCTGCAGCAGCCACTTAATCTTGGAGGCGGCTCCTGCTCCCTGCTCCGCTGCTAAACTGGGTACTTGGCCTACCTGATGCGGCATTATTGCTGCAGAGGTCAGATGTGAGCTGGCTTGGCAAGCGCTGATGAATGGCTGCGTGTGATGGAGAGCCCAACGAAAGGGGTTTCATAATGATGGACCATGAGCGCACGCACAGAAAGCCTTGTGGCTTGTTTGTGAGCTCTTACAGTGAAAGCCAGGGGAGCCAATGTKTTTTGGAGCAAATCTTTGAAAAAGAAATTAATGAAGAACACAGCTATTAAAAGCTAAAGAAATTTTCCTGTTGATTAAAAAGAGCAATAGAACTGCTACAAATCTCTTTTCCTGTCATTCTTCTTGCATTGGATCTTTCCCTCACATTCTGAAAATCTAGGTTAAAAATAAACTTTGCATATTTACGAAGATAAGTGATTTCAAAGGCTAAAAAAATTAAAGCAGACCATCTCTGGAGKTGTTCATACAGTATTTGACAGACCAACATGTATTTTGCTGTGATAATCAGTGATATAGGCTAAGAGTGGGGACTTTAGTAATAACTTTAGTAATATCTAAAAAATTAACCACCTTCCCTCCAGCAAAATGGAATATATGAATATAATGAATTGTGGAGAAACTCAGTGCTGCAGAGCTTTCCAAAAGGTTCTTGCCTTGAATAAATAAAAAGCTGAAGTGGTCAGTCAGCYTCTGGGTACTAACTCTTAGTTTTCCAAAATGAAGACAGAACTGTTGAGAAAACAGTGTTCTGCCTGAGCATTTCTAGTCTTATTAGTTAATGTCTTACAGCTGAAAATCGAGCTGTATGATGAAGAGTCTACTTGAATCCTGCTGCTCTTTACTTCTGGTATTTCATGTGTTTGAAAGCTGTTCTGTAGGAGGAAAAAGTTTGGCTCCAAACATTTGCRTGTTTCCCATTTCAGCCCAGTAACTTGATGAGTAGCTCTACAGGCCCAAGTGCTCTTCCTAAAAATAGATCCAGTGCTTATGTTACTAAAATAGTACTTGCATGATGTTCCTATTTTTCTGGCAGAGCTGCATTGACTGCTTTGTAGTATTTAAYGCAATTTCCCCCAAAATGTTTCATTTCCCTTTTCCCATTGCTGATATGTAGTGCTGAAGTTTTTCCTAGACTGCTGCCCATTACTGCAGGAATAGCTGCCTTTATACAAATACAGATTTATGGAAGTATAAGGGTTAGAAGGCAGAACTGACTGTCAAGAAGTGAAATTGGAAAGCCAAAGCTAGGCAAATATGGCCAAAGTTTATTCCTGGTCGTGACTGGACTTAAAGCTGTTAGTTTCTGGTATAAATCTCCAGGATATAGCTTAAAGTGATGGGGCTCGTTGGTACCTATGGTACTTGGTTAGTTTGGCTGTGTTGCATGTTGGTGTTTTGTATAACTTTTGCAGCAAACCCTTTTTCATTTCTCCATGCACCTTCCAACTACTGTTTTTGACTTTAAAGAGAAACTGTATGCACACGGTGGGGTTTTGACTTAGCTTGGAGATATTGGTTGCATTTGGAGGCAAGGCGGAATGTGAAAGGCTAATCTACTGTTAGGTAACTTGACCTAGGCCTAGAGACCATGAATTTCACTTCCATGAACTGTGGTGATCAACTGTGATTTATAAACACGGGAGCCAGTCTGTGCTAGGAGAGGACTTGCCTATCCACAGCAGCCCCTTGTATGCCATCTACAGCCCTTTGTAATTTCCTTTGTTCCTTGGGGTGCAGTCCTGTCCTGCATGTTCAGCACAGTCATTCCAAAAGGTCTGAAAATGAGCTCTTACATTGAGTTTTTGCTCACTGATATGCACAAATCCTTCCGGCATGGATCATCTTGCAAAGGAGAATTTCTCATTGAAATACTTTTTTTTTCATTTTAACAAAGGCAGGAGGGAATAGTGAGCCAAACATGCTCCGTACCTAAAACTAAACCATAGACAAATGTAGGATATGGGGTCAGCAGTAGAGAGCAGGTGGTTTGTCTGCAGYTTTTAAAAGGAAAAAGGAGGAGCATAAATGAGGAGCTGGGAAATGGATACAGTCTTTAGGAGGAATYGAAGAGAGGCAGTTGGAATGAAATGGAAAATCACAGGAATTTATCTAGAGATAATGTCTATTAGGGAACAATTGTACATCAGAAATAGCAAAAGCCCCATTTCTTGAGACTTTTAAAATGGAAAAGTCAAAATTCTGGAAAATATCCTGTAGATAGCATAATATAATGATAGGAGAGACTTATCTAATARGCCTATTTCACTTCTAATTCCTATGAGTCAGTTAAGCTATTTATGCTTAATTTTACATAGTTATGACTACAGAGTATAATCATCCCAATTGCAATAAAATCCTTTTTAAAAAAACTACTGTAATGCTTCATTTCTCTTCAAAAATGCTTGGCTCCCTCAAAAACAAGTGACAATCCATGTTGCTTTGGCAGTGCCAGGTCATCAGTGGTGCGTTCAGGTAATTCTGTGAATGCTGTAAAACAATCAAGTACAATGCGTAGTCCAAGGATTTATGTGATCCAGTTCTTAGTAAATAGGCAGCTGGTTCCCTGATTTTGGCTGTCTCTTGGTCTGACCTCCCATGGGACATGGGAGGCTGTTCCAGGTGGCATCATTTGTTGGTTAACATGAAGACCTCTTCTCTGGTGGGCTACACCTGCTTTTTTGTCCTACATTTGATTATAGGGTGGTAAGGCATAAAAATCACATTGGGTTTTCCTTGTCTCAGCTACAAACACTAATATCAATTAGTTGTTTACATGTTTGCCAAGAAATGACCTTACTTTTTGCTAATTACAAGTCCTTTTAGGTGATGCTTGGCTCTGAGATTTAGAAGCTTTTTTCTCTTTCCAAAAGCTGTTAGGAATTTTCTATGAGTAAATGTACTGTTAACAATTAACATGGAAAAGACAGCTCTGGATTTGTCCTAAGAAACTTTGCTTATATCTGTCTCTTGTAGTATGTTTTTAATATAAATGTCTTCCATCTGGCCAATTGCACCAATGCAYAAGATGTATTGTCCTGTGGATGGTCATTAAATTCAGCACTAAAATAGCCAATTGTGACAGGAAGAGAGGAATTTGAGCACAATTGATTTCAGTCAGTTTTGAAATGCATTTATTCATCACATTTAATTAAAATGGAAAAATGATGTAAAAAGACCTTATTTTACAAAACAAACCATTACCTACTAATGGGTTAAAAACAAACAGGAGCTTTCATATAAAAAAAGGCAAAAGGAAAAGGGAGAAATGGTAATGACAGTTTTGAAGTATCCAGTACCTGTTGTGACAGGAATAACAAATTAATTGGGACTATAACGGATTCTTTGTAAAGGTGAAGTAAACACACTTGACTGTATATTTTTCACCATCAGTTAAGTCTCAATTGGTTCTAAAAATAAACAGAAGACATTGAACAGTTTTAATGGATTTTGACACCTAGGTATTATGCTGTCACTCCAGTATAAATGAATCATAACTTTGGACTGCGCCAAGGAATTACTACACATTTGGAGAAAATTTATGGTGCACCAGGCTTTGAATCATGATGTGATATCAAAGCTAAAGTCACAAGAGGAAAAAGTCTGGCATAAATTATTATTTATTCAAACTGGGCATAGCTAAAAATGCAACAGGTATGGATTACAGGGTTAGTTAGAAATACCACAGTAATTTCTAGGCACTGACACCTTTCAGAGTTGTTGTTCTGGCAAAGCTCCCTGTGAGTCATATCCAGAGGGGTGCTGAGCACATGCTCTTGACAAATCATTGAGCACCAGATGTTCATTGCTTCTCAGGATACAACCTAATTAGGAGCTTTACCAAGGAAGAGCTTAAAGGAAAGGAGACTTTCAGCAATTGACCTTTCAGTTATGTTAGACTTAAATTTGTTTTTTTATCTAATGAAGGACTTGCAGCTGGTAAAGTTGGTATGGTGTAAATTTGGATTAAACTTGAAGAAGAAAAGAGAGAAGCTATCATAACCCTTGTCAATCAATTGTTACTCTGGGGCTTAAATTATCTGTGGATTATTGAGTAGTATGAAATAGGAATATCTACAGCAGGACCAATATCTATACTTCAAAATATCCTCCTCTTTTGCTCTGCACTGTCATGTATGTAGATATATCCTAGATTATAGCATTTAGGCAGATTGCAGTATTTGCTGAAGCTTTCTYTTGAAATTAATGTGAAAGCTGGCCAGTTTGTGCAGTTGCTTAGATCCTCTCTGCTGGTATTCTTGATACTTTTGAGAAAGATAGGTGTAAACAACCATTCCTCATGATTTCCAGAAAGTTCTTGCAGAGGACAGGCYGTGTTCAACACAGCTCTGCAGTACTGACTTGCAGTCTGTTTGCAAGTCTTTATCACGATTACCCTGTTTTTGAAAATTGCTTTACTCACACCAGGGTAGATTGTAAATATTGAATTTCCAGTCCTTCTGCAGCTTCCTGTGCAGCTTTTGCTGATACTGAAGCTCTTCTGCACTCAGCCTTTCTGTCATTTATGTAGCAATTTACCTTAAAACTTAAACCACTTCRGAGGTTATTGCAGAAAACTAAAAAGGAGGGAGATAATTTTTAAGCCTCTACTAAGTGGAAGGGAACCAAATAAAGAAGATTATAAGCAGCCAGAGAGCAGGGTTTTATTCAGGATTCCACAGCTGATGAAGCTTTTTTATATGCTGGCTGTAATATGTTGCAAACACTGATTGATTCATTATTTTTGACCTACTGGAAYGCTAATCACTGTTTTAATGGTGTTGGTCTTTTTCCTTTGAGCCATTGATGCCAGCTTCCTTACAGCACATGCCTTGGTGCCTTAGGGTCTTGCTTTCCATCTGAGACCAGGTTTTGCCCCTGCTCATGTTGAGGAGACAAGGCGGGCAATTGTGTGCACGTTCTGCCTATGGAGATGGTATTTGCCAGCCCTCCCATGGTTGTGTAAGTATAAAAACTGCCCTGTATCTCCATTTACCACCACTTTTTACCATTGCTATGAAACCTGTGCAAGAGTCAGAATCGAAAGTAAAAATGCTGTATCTTCTACAAGTAKGGTTTTGGTCTGTTTCATAGTCTAACGGACAGCTTTAGGCACTAGGATTTGGAGAACTGCACTATTACCATACCCAGCTATTTCACCCAAGGCTTCTGCCAAGCAGTGATAGCTGCGCACAGCCCTCCCTTTGGTTCCCAGGTTTGGAAAGTTTCAGCTAATCAGAAAAAGGCACGCATATGTAAAATATCCATTATCTCAAACTAGGTCATTCTTGGATGCCGTAACGCTCGGACGTCAGCTGTTGGTGTGTGAGGTTGAGAAGTGCCTCGGTGATGCCTTGGAGAAGTTGTGTTCTGACACGAGCGTTGTGGTGGTCTGTGGTAGGAGCTCCCTGCCTCAAGGGTTGCCCTGTGGTTTGGGTTGGTATCCATGGGAATGGACTGGGACTGTAAGCCCTGGTCCCTGAGAAACCTCTAGGATATTCAGGCCTTGGCATGGAGGGAAGGAGAGGAGGAGGGGGAGGAAGGGAAGAAAAAAAAAAAAAAAAAGGCAGGAGCTGTTGAATATTTCCTCTCTGTTTAATATCTGAGGGCAGCATTTGTGAACATTAGGAAGAGCTTGCTTTAAAATGATAATAATGCAACTGATATCTAATTATGTTTTAATTCCTCTGAAACTCTTTATTATATAATATTAATAAAAAAGGTTATAAAGTTATCTCCCTGAAATTAAACCCAGAGCATTCTTGTAGCACGATTACTTTGAAGATGGTCATTTTTGGTCATTCTCACTTTATGCTTYGTGGGGCCTTGGCAGCCTAACGGGTATATTCTGCAATTCTTTTTGCATAGAGTGCCTTAGGAATTAAGTAGATCTGCATAGATGTTCTCAATTTAATCAGCAAATTGTGCTGGTAAAAGAAATGGACTCTTAAGATATGAATCTTTTAGAATATTTTTCTTGAAGGAGACTTTTCTAAAATTTTTGTACTCATGTTCTACAAACAATAAGGTATTTTGTTTTCATAATTTATGAAAGGAAAATGTCACAAGCTATCACTGATTCTGTGCTCTGCCTTTGCTGACAGCTGTATGATGCTCATTCAGTGCAGCAGATTGGGAGCTGAAAGTTTCATCAATAAATATGACTCTGATGGCTTCATGTCAGCGGTCAAGGTAATGGCCTTTTATTATCGTGAAAACACTTCTACAGAGCACACGTGGTTTTTTCCTTACACTCTTTTGAGGAAACATTTTTCTATTTTTGTTCACAATCTTAGTCGTTATACTTTGTAAATGAGAGAGAATGCTTGAAAGAAGAAAGCATTTTATTATTACTGCACACAGAAGAATGGACTAAAAATGGACTAAGATTCTGTGCTGAGTTGTTTTAYTGTAGACTTTTGATAACTGAACAGGATGTTTCAATATTTGTCTCTTTAAAAAAAATACAGAACAGAATCAATCAAAAAAGAATAGAATACTGAGAAGTATTTGATATTAAAAATTATGTATAATACCTTTTATTCCAAATCCTTTGGACTAGCAGTTTTGTTTAATTGAAAATTCTATTATTGTTAAAATATTGAATTTTTTAATAGAATTTTCCAGTCCGTTCTACTAAAGTATTATTGTAACTCATATGAATAATGCTGTGAATTATGTGTGTTTATTTGGGGAAKAAATGAATATTATATTTCACACTTTAACTGATCATGCTTTTTTCTTTTATTCTATTTGATATATAGGCAACAAATATTTGCTAATATTTAAGTATTTTTGCAATTGTCAACTCCACTGCAGAAATATTTAAATAGCTTGTTAAATATATTAAAAATTAACTACRCTGATTTATTTTGAGTTGGTTAGATGGTACTCAATACTAGACCAATAAATCCTTTACTGTAAGTAAAAATCTAGGAAACAGATCTTTCCATAAAAAAAAAACTTGTTCAATAGCTGTACTACAGCTTTATATTTTTTCAAGATTTTTAATCTTTAATTGTAAGTCCTTCAAATATCACTTAGTTTTAAAGGTCATATCAAAAATAGCATCTAGTTTGTGTGTAGCATTTCCCCTAATATATGTGTTTTACAAGATACAGAAAACCCTAAGTTATGGAGAGTTCCACATTTGGAAAAACTAACAGCTGCAAGGAGGTTAGCATGTTGGTGAAACTTCTGGAAYATACAGTTTTCAGACCTATTGATGTGAAGATCAAAACCTTTATGCATTAAGTTGGTGTTTGCATTTCTGTTACTGCTTTTCAGAGTGGGGTTTTTAGTTTCTATCTATTGTCAAAGCATTTTGTACAATTGCTGTAATAGCAAAAAAAATTAAAACTGAATGATTTTAAGATTTTAAAATTTAAAATCGGCCGTTTCCTCACTTCTAAAATAATACTTTTAAATAAGGGCATCCAATTGGTGCTGAGAAAATAAGAAATCAAATATAGTTTAGATGTTAAGAATATTCCTTAGCAGAGGATTTCCTGCATGGGGAAGCTCTCTCTGCAGAAGACCTCTAAGTCAAGCCAGTCTCAGAAACTAGCTTGTCTCTTAGGGAAAAAGGACAAATATTTAGCCCTGGAGTCAGTGAAGGTACCCCTGGATTGCTACCCACCATATATTATTATTTCAAAAATAGTATCTGAAAATTGTGAGCCAAATCTCCTTAATCAGCGCCCTCGTCAGGACGTGCTCAAGCAGGGAAGGCGGCAGCCTTGGGGTCCTGTGRCCACAACCTGCCTTTGCTTCAGTGTCCAACCCTGCGCCTAGAGCTACAATCAAGGACTTAAAATTCCCATCCCTGCACGCTAGCTGACTTCTGAAAAGTAGATACGAAGCAGATAAAACAACATTTTACCGAAAGTTCATTCATCAAAAAGCTGCATATTTTGAAAAGGGTAAAAGTACTACTAGACCCATCAGGGATAAGTAAAGGCTATATACTATAGATTACTTTAATCCCCTTGCTAGATATAAAAGGGATAATTACATATTTGTGGTTGAAGCCATGTGGTGGAAAAATCAATACAACTTTTTTGTATGACACTTCATTAGTGTGAAAAATTTTAAAAGCTGAAAAGAACTGCCTTGCAATTAAATGCCTCTTCTCCTTCAGATTCAGTAATGGGTTTGTATTATTATCTAGTTTATTTGAAATAGTGGTTGCACTATAGCAGTAATTGGAAAACATTGATTATGCACTTGTATATAGAAAACCTGGCAAATCATTACAGGGCACAGCAACAGTTAGTTAGCCTTACTAATGAAGCACTAATTGCTGTAAGTAGGTTAACATGTTAGTGAAACTACAGGGAGACACAGCTTTGAAATTTTTTTTATCTGTTTGATATTTTTTTTAAATCTCATTTTAAGAAATCTTTTTGCAAACAAACCACAAGATACTCTGTATGCTATATTTGGAATAATTTCAGATTTTTTCTTCAAATATAATGTCTAGTAGATTTAAGTCATGTTTATGCTATTCCTGTCAATATGGTGKCTTTAATGTATGTAAATGGCTAACTGGAGTGAAAGGCTGGTTGGCTCCATTGTCTTCCATGTTCTACTGCAATTGTCACCTATACTATATGCTGCTTCAACAATCTTTTTTTGATATTTTTGTTTAATTAAACTATCCTATAAATGTTTCAAGAAATTGTAGCCAAAATGAACTTAATCATGTATGACCAGTTGGGATGCAGTTGCTTGCAAATGTCTACACATGGTGAAGATTTGAGCCATAAACCTTTCCCCTGCAAAATGCATTAGAATTAGGAATAGTAACAAATAGTTATTTGATTCTATTACGGGCATTGACTGAGGATGTTACATTTTGATTAGTCTGTGTTACCATATTTTAAAGGTTTTTACGTCRGAACTAACTTAAACTTTGATATTTGCTTAAAAGACATTTATATGCTGGAGGTAAGTATTCTTTGAGATATATATGAACAAAATATACATTAGGCTGGACTTAAAAAAAAAAAAAAGTCTGTTTACTGAGCACTTTCTAACATAACATTGAAGTGTTTGGGCTATGGSAAGTTGTCCTTTTTTAAGAACACAAATTAACAGTGAGTTTTCTGTGGAATTTGCATGTTCAGTCCCAGAAGGTATCAAAGCACATCTAAGTTGAAGGACACAGTTTTGTTACCCTTTCCAGATGTTGAAGGCAATGGTTTTGCTAACAAACTTTCTCTGTAGCATAATGCTCCTGGGCCACTTTGGAATGGAATATTTGTGTATCCAAGTGCAGGAGATCTGATGAAGCTCRCAGTATTTCCCACACATGCATTTGTGCTCACCAGTAGCTGAAAACCTGGCCACTAAGCCACATCTAATTTGTGTGGTCTGTTTGCATAGCAGAGGACCTTGATAAGCCACCTGGGTGATGGTGCCTGTGTTAAAGCAGCCCTGGAGGGTCCACCAGTAGGGTGGACCTACTGCAAATGAAGAGCTTCTCTTGGTGCATTTGACTCATCTTTTTCTCAGAAAGAGATTGTTTTTCATGCCAAGTGCAAGCAAAGGAAATACTGAGACCACAGCTAGAAGCAAGCAATTTTGGATGAGTTTTATGAGATTTGGGGGTGTCCAGAGCCACCCTAGCAGCTGGGGTGCATTTTGTGCCACCTTTTGCAGCACTGGGGTCTTCCTTGGCCAACCCCAGGTGCTTCCCTGGAAAAGCCAGCATGGGATTTGGCTGTGTGTGGCAGCTTGCAGGAGCCCCTGCAGCTGCTCCATGTCCCTCCTGCCCTGCGGAGCAGCAGCTCCRTTGCATTTTGGTAACACTTGGCTGCAGAAGTGCAGGGTGGGATTGCCTTGTTTAAATAGGTGTTAAATTCTCTCCCAGATTTGCAGGGATAAAGCCTGACCCCCTAAGAAGTTGTGTAATGACCTTGCCTCACAGAACATCTTGGAACAATTCTTGTATTGAAAAGTAAATGAATAACGACAYATAAAGTTTACCAACCGAGTGCTGGGAAACATGCGTTGTGATTCTTACCACATTMCATTTTTTTGAAAAATAAGCATGTGTGTTTTTTGAAAAGATTTTAAAAGGGAGGAGGGATGTTTTAAAAAGGGGAAACTGCTTCCAGTCAAGAGCTAACCTGAACTAGTCCTGCTTTGACTCAGCTTTCCAAAGAACTTAACAATATTATACCCCTCTGTTCATAATAATGAGCTGTTTTGTGCAAAGCAGCTCATTATTATGAAGGTAGGGGCATGTTTGGACTAGTAAAGCAAGCCATAAAAAAATTGCTGCCCATATCACGTTTTTCCTTTGTCAATAAACGATTTTCCTCTGGGTCAGAAACAATTATTGACCAGAGAAAAATCTCAAGTCCTATTTGCAGTTTTACCCAATGACTCTGAAGGTAGAGGAGTGAAGTTGTGAAACTAAAACTATGTGTGGTGAACATTATCTGCAAGGTCTTTTATGTTAAGGAAATCATGACATCTGCCAATCTTTCAAATTCCAAAGGGTAAAGAATGAGGTCTGTTAGGCTGTCATTGAACATGACAGGCTTAATGTCAAGTTTATAACGGAAAAAGGGCAATCTTATTGTGGTTTATTCAGTTTTATGTTGCTTGTTCAGTAGAAAAGCTCATTTTTTATCTAATTTATAGCATTTGAAATACCAAACAGATTTTTTACATATCTCCTGAGCTCCTAGCTCCTCTTGACTACCCCTTAGTCGTTCCTTTAGGGAGCAGTCTTAAATCCTTCCAATTTAGCATCTATGTGAGACCAGACAATTGTTTTACTTGAGCATATCCTTCAGTTGTTATAGAGCTGTTTCTAACTCCAAACATTTTAGTTTAATTACTGCTTAGAATATTTGCTATATTTTTATCTAAGTTGCCTCTCACTTGAGCCCATTGGGCTGAAGAAAGAATTACTCCCCGTGCTGTTCTGTAGCCCTTCTTGTTCGGATCTGTAATTGGCCCTGTGTTTTTGACTTTTTGCTAATAAGCAGCTTACTTGCTCTCCCACTAGACTCAACCCACCACTTTTGTTTCATGAATTTTACAAAGGATTTTAATAGATGCTTTAGGCTATGCAAAATGTTATATGAAGGAAAGCATTAATGCTCTAGCCTTGACACAAAGGACGTGTGAATGGCTGCTTATCATTACCGTCAGGTATCAAAATTTTCATTAGGAGTTCTGGAGGACAAAAGGGGAAAAAGTGTAGCTATATGAAAGAATATTAACCTATACTGTGTAACCAACCACAATTGCTTAGCATTTTACATTAACTCTCTTCAGACACTGGCTCTCATTATTTTTACACATACATAATAACCGCTTATTATAGCGGCACAGTTCACACTGATATATTGTAGATAAGGTTGTGTCAGCACTTCCATTATAAACCCTATTTTCAGAGGTTTAAAAGGCAGCTGTAAAAATTCRCTCCAGACAGAAGATTGGTTTTCTAGGTTTCTGCCTGAAGCATTTTTTAAAACCAATTAAAAACAATTGGCTGCTTTTTAAGCTATGGAAGTAAACAAAGCAAATTAAAAGCTTTAAAGCACTTTTTGCACTCTTGTAATTCATGAACCTGTATTCAAAAAAAAAAAAAAAGAGGGGGGAGAGAAATTTAGGGAGCAATCTGTTAATGTGTTATGCTTAATGGAAGGTTTCTGAAAGAAAATACATACTGGATATTGCAGTAAAGAGTTATGGTTCAGGACAACTTAAAATTGCTAGCTACTGAGTTCTTTAGATGCTTAAGTGAATTTTGGTGTTTTCTTTAGCTTTACATTTTAAGCTCCAATTTGGTAGTGACCAAATACACRCCTAGTTTTTAAGTGCTCAATCCTGCATAGGCTGAGAAAAATTGCCACAAGTTGAGCTTGTTCTTAGAACTGAGAAACTGAGGTGTAATTTTGCAGGTACRCATAACAGGACACTCGAGCCCTACGACACTGCAGATGTCCCTGAAGCATTTGGGGCTGCTATTGAAGTACTGGTTAGAAAGGAGAAGATCTGGAAATGAGGTGTGAGTGTTTACTCATTTCTCCTTGCAGCTGCTGCACAGCGTGGCACTGGTGCCTCTTGGCTTCTTGGGGCATCTCCACTTCCCCATCTGTGCAATGATGTCACCTTCAGTGACTGCAACTCCAGAGGAAGGACGTGTTGGTGGCTCAAAGGGAGAAGCTCACCACCCGTCTGGGTGAGTGATGATGCTGGTCTGCAGGTAAGTGCCACCATGGTCCTTTTCACCAGTGGTGGGATGGRCATGTTGGAAAAGGACCCTAAATTCCCCCAGCCTCTTTAAGCAAGAGGAGCACTTGCAACCTGTATGGTAAGTGATACCTCCTGCCTGTGCCTTGAAGAAGTTGAGGTGAGGCTGCAGAGCCCTTTCCTGGTATTAATTAACTGTGAGCGATGCCCAGGTGCTGCACGTGGCTGATGGGGAAGCGCTGGTGGGTTTTGCTCTGTGGCTGTACCTGGCAGTGAGAGAACAAGCTAACAGCACGCCCATGCTTGTGGAGGTTACTTGGGAGGTGCCCAAATTAGCTTGATATCCCAGTACTTCAGCCCATCTGTTCTAACAGGGATTTACCCACTGCTGTGAATTGTGCCTTACTATCTGCTGGGTATTATTATGCATTAATTTCTGTAAATGGGTTTAGGTATGACATTTCTGACAGTTGTTCAGCTGAATTGGATTAATAATGCAGTTTTATAACCCTCATTCCACTTAAAAATATATTACAGCACAATATTTTGAGAGAAGCTCTAAATTTAAAGTGAATGTTAAACATATATTGAAATAAAGTTGGCTTCCTGTGGTAGATATCAGCAAAAGGAAGGGGAAAAAGAAAAAGGACAAAAACACCCATGTCAGACCTGGAACCCTTGTCAGTGACATGGAGGCTCTGTTTTTCCTGTGCCCTCAGGGGGTTCTCAGGGAATGCCGGGTTCTGGAAATGGCTGTGAGGTGCCAGTGCTGCTTCTCTTTTCATAGGATCAAAGGGACCAAATCCTGCATTCCCTGTTGTGCACTGCTCAGCTTGTAGTATGGCAGGCTCCCAACGGGAGAGCTCAGGAAAGTGTTGGGAACTTGGAAAGGGACGTACAGGCATTTGAAATAACTGCAGCCTTTGGAAATGAGAATATTTCTGTTACGCTTTTTGTGGCTGACAGTTCACACAGATCTGAAAGACGTGTGACAAAGGGCACAAAGTGGCTGTATTTGTATGCTTAGCTTAGCACTTATTCTTTTGGTATAAGGTGGTAACAGCCCAGAAACAAGTCTGCTTTATAATGAAAATAGCTTGGCAAGGTAGTGAACTCCTGATGCTWTTGACTGGTGCTAGTTCCCCTTGCGGGAGGCTGCCGTGGAGCTGAGCTCCTTGGTAAGGCGAGTGTCACCGCAGGCAGCTTTGCACTGTGCTAGTGCTGGGCCGTGGAGCCACCAGGTCTCCGAGTGACTCAGCTTCTGGTTTCCAGCCCAAAAGCTGCTCCTGGCAGCTGATAAGAAGCTGGCAAGGTGAGATGAGGTGTAGAGCATCCCTAACCCATCCCCACCCYGCAAGGTAGCGGCTGCACAAGCCTGAGATGGGGTAAGAAGGGAAACGCAGAGAGAAATGTGGGAAAAAATAGCAAAGTTCATGCATCGTGATGTAGTTTCTATCTGAAGTAAAAATCGAATTGAGTTTTAAATTTGAGATAGGCTTGTTGATGGAAGAGCTAATAGTCTCTGTAAAGCTCGTTATATTAAAACCACCTATTGCTGTTTAAATTTTCACTGTATGGGGGAAAAAAGCTACTTCCTTTTCTTCTTATAGAAGTAGTGCAAAGAAACCCAGATGGGTCAGGCAGGTTTCATTTAAACCCATGTTCCTTTTTGTTATATTTCCTGAAAAAATTGTTTGGCATGAGCTTCTTCAGCATTTAATTAAAGATATGATATATTCTGTAAACTTTATAGGATAATACATCCAAGTGTAYAGAAATGTTGAAAAAACCTAGGGAATGGGTCTGCCTGCAGCAGCAAGCAGAGAAAGAGTACATGGCAGCACCATGGTCTTGAATACATGGATGGGTGGCTGCTGAAAACACCACTAAGGCAGCGAGATGGCGAGTCCCTGATTCCTATATATAAGAAGCCATTAATTACCTATGACAAGTTGAGTTTTAATGTAATACCTGCACTTAGTACTAAATAGAATGATATTTATTAATGCAGTTACTGTTCCTTTCATGGCGAATTATTGGTKATTTTGTAGTATTTAGTGTGGATGAAGAACTGCAATATTTTGCCCTCAGTTGGTAGTATTTCCTGAAGAAGGTGACAGAGATAAAAATACTGCAGCCAGTTGCATGACAAAGTCCAATTATTTTGAAGCAATTAATATATTTAGTATTATTAAAGATGTATAATTGTGGTTTTTTGGAACACAAATTTAAATTTTAAACATTTGCTAGGAAGGCATGGGTACAATTTCATACCAATTCTACATTTATACTCTGTCCCATCACAGGAGACTGAAGACTTTGCTGTTAGCAAGGTGTTCATTATTTTGCTTCACTGAAAGCTTAAAATAATAATTATTAAAATGGCTATTTCATAATCCGAGCRAAGATAGCAAAAACAGTTCTTGGCTCTGTCTAGCTGGCTGGGATCAACTACAGGTAGAATAGTGATGGTTTACCTCAATTAGCCATGGTTAGAGTAAAACTACGGTACCTGCCCCCAGGGAGAGGTAACAGCAGGGTAACTAACTAAAGCAGTTCAATTTGAAGCATGCCTCGCACAGAGAAAACATGAGCAAAATGAGTGACTTTCTGATCCTAAATAATGCAGTGAAGTTTCTGCTTAGTTTTGGTTTATGTGCATTTTTTTTAAAAAACAAAAACCTACGTATCAACTGTGGAATGTGAAATACAAGCTAAGTTCTATAAAATGCCGGTATAATGCATGCTGCTTTCAGTAATTGTGAACTATTCACCAAATTGCATATTCTGTAACCCTTTGAGAATAGCACTGGAGAAGCATTGAAAGATATGGGTGGTGAGTGCATTTAAATATGTTCAGAAATGTGTATGAACCCCCTGGTGCCCCAGATTAAAGGTAGATATCAATGTCTTCTAACCTAGCACAAAGGTATAATTCAAAGTAAAGAAATAATAGCATTGATGTAAAGCTGTGAGAAATTCTGCGTTTAAAAAAAGTATGAAAGAGGAATATAAAGTTCTGCAAGAYTTATTTGATTGTATGTGCCTAAAGAAGGCAAAGCAGACTGCAAGGGGAATTCGAGACCCAAATAAAACTTTCCCAGATGACTACAACATTTATTATTTAACTTCAGATGGAGCCACCTTAAGAAAGGTCCAAGGAGCTAGATGGAAACCAAATACAGTAAAGGGAAGTTGGGGATGTGGGTGTCAGGTTGTCAGTAATCTGACAGCTATGGTAACTACCCTCTAATCCAGCGGCTCCAGCCACGCTCTCAGCTGACACCGCACGGACTGACTGACAGCTGAAGAGCGGGCACTTCTTACAGGCAAAAGTGACATCCAGTCTATTAAGGCTGACAAGCACAAAGCAGAGATTTGCCCTGAATGGTTTGGTACTGAAGCCTAGTAAAGGGGTTATTTGAAAGGTCTTAGAGAAAGTGTCAGACTCGAGCTCAGATGATAACAATATTGTAATGATAGCACTGGACAATGAAGCGCTATGATTGCCCGTGCGGGCTGGGAAGATTGTGCGTGAAGAGTGAGCTCCCCGAGCCACTGTAGAGCAGCACATTGAGAAGCAAACATGCATCTCTAAGACTGCTTTATGTCACTATGCTAAATATGCACGTGTTTTTGGGTGTGTAAATAACGTATTTGTACGCTTGTTTTTGCTGTTAGCACAAGGAAGAATTTAACAATTACTGCAGCCTCCTACACAGCCCAYGAGTGATGAAAGAGTGATATGCTTTTTTTATATTCATGGCTTGTAGATTAAAACAAGATGTTCAAGCTAAYGTGTTTAGTATTGAAAGGAAAATTAACTGTAATGATGGAAATAGCAGGATTTTAATCCAAATACCAACTTTGTTTTTCTTTAGAGGTAATTGAGGAATCTGAGTGTGATATCCCAACATGAAGTCATACTGCATAAAAGGGAGCTAATTTTATAAGGAAATATGAAAAGATCTAGTACTGCATAACAGTTGAGTAGCTGGCTGGTACATAAATTGTGAGGCTCCAGAAGGAATTACAAAAATAAGAGATCATTCATTAGAGCAGGGTCTGTACCTACCATTGAGGTGTTTGAAAAGGAAACCTGTTCCTTATTCAGTAAAGCTCAGAAAATCTAATTTTCTGCTTTGTTCTTCTCCCATTTCCTATCAGAACACAGCATTTAATGAAATGATGACGTGAAATTGTTTTTTTTGATGCTGAAGCTTACTTCCTCAGGGATCCCCTCTGGTTCTGGTCTTCCTCCTCCTAAACCCCATGACAGTTGTTGTTGTGATTTGTCATGTAGCACCTAGAGGTTTGCTTTTAGGCTTGCTGTTGAAGCTGGACCTTCAGCATTCATCAGCTTCACCTGTCCTGCACCATCTACTTCATCTTAACGTGATAATTAAAAAAACTGAAAAACTGTTTTCTCAGTATCAAAATGCTGTAACTGCCTTTTTCTTTCCTCTTGATGCATTGAGGGAGTTGATCTTTTTCACCATAAGATTACTTTATATAGGTCCAAAATATTAGTTGATCTAGGCTTGTCTGATCTAAGGCTCACTCATAAGCATCTCCTGCATTTGCCTGGGAATCAAAGTTCAGCAGACCAACTTTAACTCACTGGATTTAAAAGCAATACAAATTCTAATTGCCAAGAAGCATGTATGGCCAAACCATGGTCACTGCCCAGAGAAGCACAAAGGTAGGTGGGGGAAGAAAGCACAAGCCCTGTGTGGGGTCAGATTGCCAGTGGGCAAACAGTCAAGGATGGAGTAATTTCCAGACACTACTACTGTTTTTCAAATTATCACCTGGAATCAGTACCAGGTGCTAAGGTGAAGAGTTTTAACAGCAATGTAAGTGCAAGCTTCCCTTGCACAAAGCCCCACAGACTGACACAGAGTGGTTTCTACTCGGCTTGAGTTTGTTTTTGTACCTGATCAGTAGAGA